CTACATAAAGAGACCCTTTACATGTTTTTACATTGTTTAAAGTTGTTTTTGAATTTTTCCTGTTGCTGGTTTTTTAGTTATAACAATTTACATTCAGCCATTTTGCTAAGATGCCATTGATTGGCAATGATTGCTGCCATTAATTTAATGAATAATAACAGAGTCTGATAATTGATTTCCGGTCCGTAACCAATCCCGGTTACGTTAGTCTATTATATCCCTGATCGAGATAAGTTAATCTATACTCTGGCAGCTACACATATTTTTGTCGCATTTGGCCTTCCATATATAATGGAGTCTTGGCGTTCTATGGCTACAGTAAATGTCACCAAAGATATCACTGAATGGGACATCACTTCAGTGTAGGAATCAAATTATATACACAGGCAGTGTTAATGAAGAAGTTGATTTCTCTGTAGAAGGTAAGACTACTAACTTTTTACTAGTTTTTGTCATAGCCATATAGATTTCTTGTCATAGATTATTGTGGTTATGCACCAACTCTGCTGCTAGCTAGGCTGTTTTTAATGACCTGGGGGCAAAGCCTAGGGGTGTGTGGATCATGCTAGCATTTTTTTAGCATAATAGGTAGATTCAAGCATCAAGAACAATTTAAGCATAATAGGTAGAAAAAATTAAACAGTGGGTGCAGTTTCAATTGAATTAATATAACTAGACTAGATCTATACTGGCAGTTTTATAGTCGTTCCACTTTGATCATGATTCTTGATAATTGCAATCTCCTTTGCCATCTGAGATAATGTGCAATAGGAAAGTGTGCTCAAACAACCCACCACATGAGCACTGAACTTTTAAGCATTTTGTACAATTATATATCACTTATCATTATCGCTTCATTATTCATTATTCACTGGTTGTGTTTCAAGTTAGTTTATTGAAATTACTAGAATTTACTAGAATGCGGATCAGTGCAGATCACTGTGGACGTTCTACAGGCAAACAAAATGGTGGCTTACACATGGGACAAACTTGTGTGCTGGGTTTCTAACAGCAGGACAACATAGAGATACTGTCTAAAGACTTCTCTATAAGCATTCTAAAGTAAAAAGAAGAGAACCTTTATAAGTCTTCATAAGTGCCCAGCTATGCATGCAAGGTGGTGAAATCAATGATAGGAATATTTTTTAACTGTTACGCTTGTTCCAGTTAAATCTTGAGTCTGGAATGCCCATCATAACCTTCTGAGCATGAAGAAGAGCATCCTTTTCATTCCAGCTAAGGTCGTTGACTTTGAACTCTAGCTTTCTTCTTGCTTCATACATGCACACAGTATTTCATTAGAATAATGCTACCACATTAGATCATTGAGAGATAAATAGCACATGTTGGGCGTAACCAAAAGATGGGTGTGACTGGAGACGTACGCATACATACATACATACATACATACATACTTACTTACATACATACAAAAGATTTCTGCTACAATGGGGCTCGCTCAAGCTCACCCCAACAAGATGATTTAATCATTATGGCGATTGATGGTTTTGTGTACAGTAATGTATGTAGGTATCACCAATATAAATCCGCTAAGAAATAAGTTTTTAAAAACTTTTAATGAAATTCACCAATAATAGGAAATTTTGCCAAATATTACTCTTGCCAAAAAATCATCTTGTATAGCATTTACAAAATTCAGACTTTAAATAATTTATCTGTTGTGGCAATTTTTGTTAGTTCACCTAATTCATGTACTTGATATGTTGACTCGTATTTAATTGCAATTATTATATTTTACCCAATGACCACACCCATTGTGTTACATTCTTCTAAAATTTCTTTTTTTGTGAATTTAATATTAAAGAATTTTTATTTTTGCTAGATACTACTGCTGTTACGCAAATCTTTTTGGAGGCTACAGATGGAACTCCAAATATTACTTTTTTCGTCACTTGGCCAACGGCTACCTGTGCTGAAGTATATAATGGAACTGTTGAAAAAGACAGTAAACTAAGACAACATTGGTCTGGTCAAAGCACATTCTTTACGTTTGATGTTAAGTAGAGTGACATTAATGATGGTGGTATGTATACAATTGCTGTCCGTAGTGTTGGATATGATGGAATGAGTGTTAGTGTTCCTGCCTCTAGAAATATTTCCATTCACAGTGAGTCATTTTAAATTGAGATATAATATATTGTAACAATTTATCGTAGCACCCGAGTTCACTGTTTCTCCTGTTATTGACTGTATAAATAAAAATCTTTCACTCATAATTGAAGTTAGTAACCTAATTAGTAATACATGTTCATTCACAGATCATGATGTTATTTAGGAGGAGGAAGACGCCTCTGTTTCTCACCTTGATGTGGTGTCATGTGTAATATCACTAGCAACTGTTACTCGCTTGTATAATAATACAAGGTCATGTATTGGGAGAAAAATTGATTTTAATATCACAATTGGCGGTTCATATAATTACAATGTAACTCTTACAAACCTTTTTGGCTCGTCATCTATGCTTAATGTTGCTGGTATGTTTATTTGTGTCCTGTGGTCATAACTTCATATGGTATTACATTTACGGCATTTTGCTTTTAGATACAAATATATGTATTGAAACGACAGCATCAACACAGCCTACAGTATCAACAGAGCCGACAGTATCAACACAACCTACAGTATCAACACAGCCTACAGCATCGACACAGCCTACAGCAACAACTATGCCTGACACTACAACTACACAGACAGCAATGACTACTGATATTGTTTCTCCTTCTGAATCTCCTAGTGTGTCTACATCTGCTGATAATGCTACATACATTGCTACATCTGTAACTTTTGGCTTTTTATTTGGATTACTTCTTGTGTTTATTGTATTTGAAAGACTACGCTGTTTCTGTCCTGCTGCGTCTTTCTGGTCTATTGTATTTTGTGATTGCTTAGCTAAAGGTATGTACTGTGTCTATTTTATTTTCAGATTATTAGGTTTATTAAAACAAAATTGTAAATTTTCCAAATTTTCCACTAATGGTTTAACCTTTTTATCACCTGCATCATTTTTACTCAACTACA